AGGGCCACAAACTATCATCTGGGGGGCTGCAAATGGCCCCCGGGCCGCACATTTGAGACCCCTGCATTAAACCCTGTTTAATGCGTTCCTATGTGGGGGGAACTCACTGTTATGTGAAGATCCTCCGTAGGGGCGGCCATTTTCGGTGCTTCTAAAGTGAGGCAACACAGCGGGCGGCCATTTTGGAACCACCAATCAGCTGTGCGAAAATGGGGCCTTTGGGCCACCGCCGGCATTTTTGCCCAGCTGAGTGGCAGTGGCTTCGGAAGCTCCCTCCGCTCAGCTGGGGGAAAATGCCGGCTAGGGCTTTGCGAGGCGGGGGAGGCCTCCCCTGCAGTCCTTTCCAAACCCCCGCCGGTCACCAGCTTCCAGTTTTCCAGGAGGTGTTCCCCATTCCCTACCTCAGCGGCCATAGGCAACATCGCAATGCAATCGCAAAACCGATCGCAAAAAAGCCATCGCTATGCGGATTCGTCATTAAACAGGGCGCCTTTTAAGCGAGGCACCACTAGTTCCATCTGAATCAATGGAACTTACAGAGGAGTTGACTCACCAGATCCTCAATGATTCGGTGACTCTATTTTATTGTCATTTACTATGTGCAGCAACAGGATTTGCACCAGTGAATTCTTCACTGACTTCTCTTCCCAAGCAGGTTGTATTCAGTATGGTACAACTCATTGTTGCAAAAAAAATGTATCAGTAGGGCTGGACATGTAAAGCAGACTGTATTCAAGTTACCTTGGAGGGAAGATTATAACACAACCCATTCTGGAAAAATTATCATGATTGATAACACAAAATATTGTAATAGCATTGAATACAACTATCCCATTCTAAAGCTATAAACAAAAAGTATGGCCTACAAAAGACCATTTAATTTTTCACATACATCCATGTGACAGTCACAACCTGCTATCAGGAAGAGATTAAAACAGTTCAACTAAATATAAAATATCTACACAGGACAGATGTGAAGAAGTGGAAATATTAAAACCATGTATTAGATGAAGATTCCTAATTAGAGATGGGCACACATTTTAAAAAGGAATCACCAAATTCATTCCAAAATTGCCAATTCATCCATTTCCCAAATTCATTCCAAAATTGCCAATTCATCAATTTCTATTCATATGAATCAATGCCCCGACGAATACAAATCAATGGATTTTTAGTAATTTTTGATTTCTTTGACTATAACAATGGATTTTTAGCAATTTTTGATTTGTTTGACTATGACACACACACCCCAGGCACCTAGAGACACCAAAATTGCAAGGAAGCTTGTTCTGACGTTGCTCTACAATCCCTCCATGTTTGGTGAAGATTGGGTTTCAGATGTCTGAGTTATACATCCACAAAGAGGACCCACCCAGGAAAGTTCCCCCCAGGCAGCTACAGATACCCAAACTACAGAGAAGCTTTTACCGACTCTCTGAAAGTTCCCCCCAGGCAGCTAGAGACACCCAAACCACAGAGAAATTTTTACCGACTCTCTTCTACAATTCCTCCAAGTTTGGTGAAGATTGGGTCCCCCCCAAGCCAGCTGCTAAAGGGCACTTTCTGGGGGGAACCTACTTTGTGGGTATATAAGCCCCAAGCCAGCTACTAAAGGGCACTTTCTGGGGGGAACCTATTTTGTGGGTATATAACTTGGATGTCTAAAACCCAACCTTCACCAAACCTGGAGGGTCTGTAGAAGAGAGTCAGGAGAAGCTTCCCTGTGAATCTGGTGAATCTAGGTCCTTGGGTGGCCGTTCTATAGGGGTTTAAAGTAAAAAAAAATACATTAAATTGATTCATTGATTTGTCAGGGGAAAAAATCAGAAATTCATAATTTGTTGGCCTTGACAAATCAAAACTAATCACCATTTTTCTGATTCATGGCCATCTCTATTCCTAATCTATAATCAAAACTAATCACCATTTTTCTGATTTATGGCCATCTCTATTCCTAATCTACGTAAGATTTGCACAAGCAATACATGAGATTAGCTGCAGGCAAGAAACAGCAGTGGAAAAGGACATATCAATTTGGTCTATGCAGAAAAGTCATAATGAAATATTTAACAAAATGAGATTACATATTAGGGAAAGCTGTACCCTTGTGGTCCTATATTACTACTGTTACTCAAAATTTAAGATTACAACTTAACTTACCGAGGCAGCTCTCCTACAATTAATATCACGATCAAACACGGCAGCTATAACCAGAGCACTAACGATAGAAAGGAGAACATAAAAATTGTCAGTAAAAAAATTACACAATTTTAAAGCACTTCTGAATATATGTTTTTGCAGAAACCAGGCTACTAAAACAACTTTAAAAGGTAGGGGAAATGTTAGCATTTTTGTGTCATTGGCATATCCATGGTATTTTGAGGGTACATTCAATACCTGACTGAGATTAACCTGCAATAAGTGTCACTCTGTACTCAGCAGAAGGCATATTACAGCAGCACTGAAAAAGCTCCTTCAAGACATTGTTCTAATACTTCAGTGTTTATTTTAACCATGGGCCATTTCAACCGATAATTTGCAGGGGAGGTGAGGGCGGTTCATGTGCTATGTCTCTGAAGCTTTACTAACAGACCTGATACAGTGGTGCCTCGCTTAACGAGCGCCCCGTTTAACGATGAAATCGCATAGCGATTAACTTTTTGCGATCGCTTTTGCTGATCAGCGGTTCAAAACTGGCCACCGGGTAAAAAAATGGCCACCGGCTGTTTTCTGGGAGGGATTCCTCGCTTACCGGACAGCGAAAATGGCCGCCGTATGGAGGATTTTCGCTTAAAGGTGAGTCTGAAGCCCATAGGAAGGCACTGAAGGGGTTTCAATGCATTCCTATGGGCTTTTTAATATCACATAGCAACGAAATCGCTTTGCAGCGATTTTTGCTGCACCGATTATCGTCGCTATGCGAGGCACCACTGTATACTATATACAGTATTTCCCATCTTTATTTAGCCAGCAGCAGGTGAGGGGGCAAAATGACAAAAGGGGAGAAGTTTATACAAATCTGAGAGCTTATTGCTAAAATAATATATGCACTAGGACATCCTGATACCTCAGCGGGCCCACATGATGCTAGCTGATTGTGGGCGAAGCGACACAATGGGCCAAAATAAAAACTGGACAAGTTCCAATATAAAGCTGCTGGACCCAAATGCTGCACTGCCATACTTGTATTCAGAAATAGGAAAGATGTGTTCAAATTGATTCTCACATACACATTCCCCCCCAACACAGAGACACTTTCTCTTCCTATCTCTGCTCCTGACATTGCAAAATACCGCATTTGCCGGCGTATAAGATGACTTTTTTGCCTTGAAAAAATGCCTCCAAGTGGGAGGGTTGTCTTATATGCCGGGTGCACTTCAGAAGGAGCCACCGCCGTGAGTGATGATGCGGGGCCGCGCTGGCCGGGGAGGAAGGCAGGCATGCAGGCAGGAAGGCAGGCAGGCAGTCCAGATGGAGGGAAGCAGAGCTGGCCATGCCTGAGCGGCCAGAGCCCGCTGCCCCGCGCTGCTAAGCCAGCGGCCCGCTTGCCCGCCCGCCACCGAGAGCCGCTTGCCCTCCTCCTCGGCCTCCTCCGCCGCTGCCCACCCGGCCACTTGCCCTTCTCCCCTCCCTTATCTTTCTAAAGTCCCACCATTTCCCTTCAGAAATATACAAACTCTATATTTTGAGTGGAAATGTTGGGGGGTC